CACGGGATACTTCAGTACCAGCAGCATCACTCGAGGTCAGAAGAGCTGCCAGGATACTTCGTGTCACTCACTCACTCACACCCTGAAACTTAAAATCCAGCCCAATTAGTCCAGATCAAGCTGTTTTTTGTGTTTCTGGAAACAGCCCTCAACACATGGCGAGTCCTGCTGGGACAGCAGCAGCTGCTGAGCTTGCACTGCTCTGCTGGATGCTCCTGCTCACCACAGAGCTGCACAGAGCACAGCTCCCACCCTAGCACTGCAAGAAGGAAATCCTGAAATCTCACAGCTCACCATGAACCAAGCACTGCTGCAGCCATCCCAGCTGGAATTGCAAGCTTTGGAAAAGAGAGCAGATGCAGAAATCAATGGAAAAAGAGCACAACCTTCCAGCTCAGCAGCAGTAGTGGTAATTTCTTAATATTAATGAACATGTACCATGATATATGGTCCCATGCTAATTAAATCTCCTCTTCTGGAATCCACTTCTCCTTGGGGATATGGAAGCAGCTGAAAATACAGCACACACCTACCCTCTCTATCACCTCTGGGACTGCTGGATCCTTAAAAGTCCTCTCTCAAACAGGGCTGTAAAAGGAGATGCATTTTCTCCTTACTCCCCAAGGCAGCAGCAGTCTCACTTGAGCAATGGCCCCTACTTAGTCTGCAGGTGCTTGGGGTTTTCCAGTTCTAAAACATGGTATGTGTTTAAAGCTTTTTATTCACAATAAATCTGGATATTGTTGAATCCTCGTGACTTTGGTCTGTTTGAAAGAAGTCCTTCATAAGACAGTGGTCAGAAACCAAATATGTGGGTCTGCATGAGACAGAAGCAGCCTTGTCTGAAATACTTTTATATCACATTAAAAAGCATTTACTGCCTGAAAGCATGTCTAATATAGAGCAGTTAACATTTTTTCTCTTTTCCTTGTCACTATTACCAGCGTCTTAATGTATCACTGGAGCATTTCCTGAATTCACTTTTCTGTTCTGTTTCAGTGCAGGCCCTGCTTCCCAGGAGCTCTTCTCTCTCCACTCTCCCTGTTTCTGGAACATTTCTGTCACACTGCTGATTTGGGAGCAGGGTCCCAGGTAGAAGCCATGGGCAGATACAACCCTCAGCCTGGTTCTCTGTCCTATTTTGGGGGAAATTTTGAGTTTAATTCCTAGCTTTGCCACAGACCTGCTGGGCAGCCTTGGACAAAAATCTGTCACTGACTGGAAACCAGGAATGGGGAGCAATGCAAAGGCTGCAGAAGGGAAAAAGGACGTTTTTGTAAAATCCCCCCAAAACCAGGAGGGTCCTTGCTGGGACATCAGCAAAGCAAAAACCTATAAATTATTGAGCTACTTCTCCGAGTTATTATAGCAGAACTGTGAAACCAGAAATCTTATTTTGTTTTCAGTTTCTCCCTGCATTGTTTCTGAGACTGTATTTCTTATAAACAAGATTCTTATTTCAGTATTCATTAGATTGTCTGTCAAGGAGAGCAGCTGGTGTTGATGAATTGATTAAGGCACTCTGAGGATGGTTCAGCTTAAAGAAGAAAAGGCACAACAGATTTCAAAGATGTAAAAGGCTGCTGTGAACAATAAACAGCTTTTTTTCCCCCCCCACATTCAGGGTGGACAAAATGCTATGTTTTTAATTGCACAGAAGATTCAGATTAGAGAGGAAAGTGCTTTACCATTAAGGCTATTGCAGTATTTCAACAGGAAAGCCTTGGAGAGCAGGACCATGTGCAGCTCCCTGACTGCCAAGGGTCCTTCCACACCTACAGCCTCAGACCTTCCCCCTCACCTTCCTCATCACTCGGTGACTCACATTATTTTCAAAAAGAAACTCCAGAAGCAAAAGGATTCCCTTTATTCTGCTCAATTACAAGTACTCCTAGAGAAAGTGGAATAAAATGGTTGAAGAGCTGCACAGAACTCTTGGAATTCTTATATCCATGCAAAAAGTGATCCAGCTGCAAATGCAAAGGAAGTCCCAATGTGCTGATTTCAAACTAACAGAGCACTATGGGCACAGATTTCTCATCCTTATTGTTTCTTATTGCCCAATTCAAAGGCACAATTTACCTGCAACTAGAAGAGCATTTGGTGGAAACACTGAGTCGATTTATCCACCCAGCCAAGCAAACAGTAATAAGCCAGGAGATAAAATAAATAAATGGGTCAACAAGTATTTCGCTCTTGAATGCTCAAGATAAATTATACACCTAAAGCCCAAAATTGGAGATCACTCATTGTCCAGACAACAGCACCAAACTACACCTCTATACAGCTGACATTTCCAAGAACTATTGGAGAATTCCCTGCTTGAACAACACACAAGGTAAAGTTATAATTTGTTCCCTATGAAAACTCTACTGAATGATTTTCCCATAGAATTAGCTGCAGGAACTGGATATAAATAAATAGAATAAAATAATAGAATATTTAATTCAGCACACACAGCAAGTTTTACCAATCTGAGCATGAGATGGTAAACAACACAATTGCAACAAAATACACAAACTGTGTCTTGGGAATTGGCTCCTGGCTTCAAATTACTCACTGCTAGAAAGCAGTTTGTTCCCATCCACCTAATCAGCACCTGACTTCTCTGCAGAGTTTAAGTAAACTGAAGACAGATGGGCTGTAGCAATAGAAAGTGAAAGAACTGCAAGACCTTCAAATAACTATTTGAGAAGTAAACTAAGTGCTATTCTTCACTATTGTCCTGTAGTGGGAATTTGCTACTTTAAAAACTAATCACTTATGAGAAATTAAGGGATATCTGTCAAAATTACTGTGGCTCCCAAGTAATATGAATACACGGTTATTGTGTCATAAAAAAGGTCTTTTCCATATTTATGAAGTGTAACAGCCAGCAGACACTGTGCTCCAAGTGGCTTCTGGAACTGCAAATGATGCAGCAGCACATCTCTCCGAGCAAGAAAGAGGCTGTGAAGAGCCAGCACGGCTTTGGAGAGCCCCCAGCCATGTCCACATGGCTTAACCCCCACCTGTGCCCCTCTGTCTGGCATTATTAAAGGCAGGCCACACACCTTCAGATATTCTTGTCAGCAGAAAACATCTGAAGCAAGGACAAAATACAAATTAAACTAAATGGAGCCTGCAGATTTCATGGTTTCCACCAAGGCTGAGACAACATGCAAGGAGCAGAAGGTTTGTGGTATGAGCACTTCGGCACAGTGGCACCCTGATCTTTAATGGATGGATTTTTGATATGTCAGGATAAAAAAAATCCTTCATACCAACACCTCTTTTCAGAAGTGCTGCCCTAGGTCTGCTTGCACTAAGGTAATTGGGAATTTCCCATCAGCATCACTGTGAGCTGGGCCCTTTGATTCTCTCATTGGGAAGGCAGAACACTCAGCCTGAGCTGTCACAAGTCCAGTGAAAATGCTCAAGAACATCTAACTCAGGAAGTTCTCAAGGCTAATATCAGGGCACTCAGCATCTAGAACATGCCAGAAAAATGTGGGGGAAAAGATAATAGTCTGCTGAAAGTACTCAACCTCTACCGAGATGTGTTGACATTCTTTTGAGTCCAAAATCTTGACTTGGTAACTGAAGAATTAATCTGGAAGCAGAACATTTTCACATGGCATCTGTTAAGAAAACCTGTCTTTATTAATCCTTCAACCAAGCCTTTATGGCACAAATTTTCATCAGATAACCACAAAAGCCCCTGCACTACAGAACTCCTGGGTCAGCTTTCCGTAAGGACAAAACACTAACCAGGGCATCATCATTCTCTACAGAATCATCAATAAATTCCTCCCAAATTATTATTCCATTACAGCTGCCCTGTGCTGACATCAGCAAACCAGAGATATTGCTTCAACTTCCATTAAATCATTTCCCTGGGAGGTAGAGAACACAGACTTTATAAATACCTGAGACCACAAGCTCCTACAGAGTTATAAGAATCAGGCTCTAACTGAAGTCCAAAGGGAAGATTTGGGAAGCAGTGGAATAAGGCACCTACCTGGAATGCTGTCTCCTCTTCACAGGATGGGTCTGGCCATCACTACCATGTGAAAGCAATATGTACATAACACAACACTGCTCTGTGGTTCTTGCACTTGTAACTAATGAAATATCAACTCACAGTCTGTCTCAGAACCATGAAACTGCTCCAACACTGCTGCCTCAAAATCCAGGTGATGCAGAAATCCTGCAATGCACTCAGACTCCAGGTGAAGGGAAGGCAAGACTGGTTTTACACTTGTAAAACGGTCCCTCCTCTGTTTTCAATTCATTACAGGCTCTTTTCAACAGCAAGTTTCAAAATATTGGAATGAATTTTGATAGCAGAAGGCTACTATAGAACAAACCAGCAATCTACAAGAGAAAGCAGCTATTTCACCATAAAGTTCTAGACACACTGAAAAGGAACTGTCTGGGTTCCCTCACTTGGACTATGACATGACCTACAATTCTAAAGGAATTAGATCATTATACACATGATGCATGTATGGTATTTCACACGTGAATCTGAATGGTTTCACACATCTGAAATAAGTTACACAAACAATGTTGCTCTGCACAGCCAAACTGAGTCGCTCTGTAACACCACATCTCCCTGACATGAGATTCCATCACCAGGAAGGAGCTGCTCCCACGCCTCCAGAATCTTCTGGGCTGCAGCTGCAAGCACCACTGGACTCTTCTGTTCCACAGGTGCAGGGGTGAGGGGAAGATGGAGCATGTAAAACACAAAATAAATCAGTTCCCCTGAATGGAGTAGCAGGACATGGTGACAGGGGATGGTGTCACCATCACAGGATCTATGTGAGCCCAAGGATGCTGCAGCCACACCACACACTGCTTTACCTCCTGCTGCTGTTTGCACCTTGTCTTACATGAAAATGTGCCAAACTAAACATTAAAAATAGTGTTTCAGTCTGTCACTTCCCCAGCTTAATGATCTGCAAACCTTCCATCCCAAGTGTTTAAAATTATTGGTATAAAACATTCAGCCAAGGTAATATCAAAATATATTTTATTCTGGACCTCTTTCAGATCTGATTCAAATTACAGTTGTCAAAGCAATACAATGCAAAGGGAAACTGCAACAGAAAATGTGCCTAGAAGGGATATAAGGGCCTTGGGGACAAATCATTGTGATGTAGAACCAAAATACATCATAAAGTGTAATTAACATGGTCCAGGACAGTATAGAACATCTATATCAGTCTTCTTTAGACAATAATCATGAAAACTGAACAATAAAAGTCCTTTAAACAAGTACAAAAAACTGTCATGGGCTGGTTTACACTTTTACAACAGTTGTAGTTTAACTGGATAACTGAAGAAATGATGCAGACATTTTAATCCAGTGCTATAGGTAGGCTCACAGAATTAGACCCAAAGGATTTGTAACTCCAAATGAAACCATTACAACTACAATGTCAATGTCAGGAGAGAGAGAAAATTACTTCTGTATTCTAGAATTACTGTTCTGCACACTGCAGTCTGTTGAGGACAAGATTGCAAAGTACACTGGACTAGCAACAACATGCAGACTGTTTTCTTGTATTTACCCACAAATGTCAAAAAACATTATGAAGTAAAAATGAATGATTATTTAAAAATAAAAAAACAAAACAAAACAAAAACATGCCTCAAGTTATTGTCAAGCTTCAAACTTAAAGGCAGAGAAAGCGAATTATGTACTCAAAACTACTGATCTGAAGCACTATTAACACTAAATCTGCAATCCACTCGAAAGGGCAGATTTTCCTGCTTCGTCTGCCTCCCACCAGACTGACAGTGAAGACAGTCACACTTTCACAGCTCGTGGTATTTCAGAGCTTTCTCTAGAGGGAGAAGTGAGGACTGCTCCATGTCTCTCTCCCTACGGAAAATGTCAGGGATCTTGATGGAGATTTACTGCTGTCTCCCGAAGCCGTGTTTGCTTCTAACATGCCACAATGTTGCTTCTGCTTTCTTCAGGCGTCTGGAGAGGGTGGAAGTGATCCCACTGGGGAATGGCTCTACAGGGCTTTGGGAAGGGAGGAGCTATCCTGCTCTTCAGATGAAAAGGAACTGGGCTAAATCTGGCATGCCTTGCTCTGGCAAAGCCCCAGGGACAGCGGGGACCCTCGGCTCGAGGGGGATGTGGCTCGTTTTATCCACACCGGGGTTCGGCACAGCCCCGGCGCCTCCAGCGCTCGCCCCGGCACGGGCTCCTCGTGAAGTGACAGACAGTGGGATTTCTGGTGAAGTAAATCTGGAAAAATCAGGTCCCAGAGCTCCCCTCTTTCGCTAAACAGACAAAACCAGACAACCTTGCATTGACAGGCTGCAGCCCCCAGTCTGCAGTGGTAAGAGAGCTCCTTCCCGCAGCAGAACTGAACGCGCCAGCTGCTGAGCCGGCTCTGCTGGCAAAGCGGCACCCACTGCTCTCCCTAAACACAAAGGACATGCCCAAGGTACAACGCCCCATCAGACGCCCTAGCATGAGGTAAGCAGTGTAAGGAAAAAGGAGTGCTTTTTTCAAATGAAAATCAATTAAAATCGGTAGAAATCTTTGGCCTTTCTCTCAAGATGCATTAAAGTGTCACGAAATCAAGAAACATGCTTTGAAATGCCATGTCGTTCTGACTCTGGTAACTACTACCTCCCCTCCACCCAACCCAGAAAAAGAGGCACTTTTAGTGTTTCATATAAGATTTCCAATCATCTAGTAGACATGCTAAATAACCCTGCACAATGGTAGTCCCAGAATAAACTCAGTTTACCAACATTACAAAGAGTCTAAAAAAGCTTTTATGAAGACCTAGATATTCTCTTAACTACACTAAAAAGTCCACTGGTTGGGAATCTTTACATCAATTTAAAAATGCAGAAAAAGGTAAAGTAAAAATAGAAAAAGACGAACTCTACAGAAACCTGGATCCGGTCATGCAAAAATGAGAAACGGGATTCTGAGATGGACGCACAGAGAGACAGCGAACTCAAGAGCAGTTCATTTCTTATCCCATCATTAATTCTGAGCCTAGCTTTTCCCCTTCCTTTTATCCTCTGTTGGGATATTTGCCTGTTACCGCGTTGAACTGATAAAAATAGGAATGACTCCAATTGTAAGACTGAGCATGTACGTACACGCTACACAAAGTCAGGGCCTTGCTGCCCTTTGGCTTCCCCTTTGAAAGGAGCAGTTTGGACAGTGCACCCCAGCCTGGAACACGAGGCCTCTGTGCTATGCAAGACAGGAATGAACGTCACGGTTCAGTGTGGTTTTGTCCGGTTTGTGGTTGGCAGCGCGCGGCGCGGCCGGCACGCGGCGGCTCCGGGCGTGCGGAGCGCGGGAGCAGGAGCAGCACTGTGGCATGCGAGGCAGGACAGCTGGACAGCTACGGCCGGACCTCGGCTGGGGGATGCTGGCTCGGGGACGTGGCCTGGCCCCAGGGCAGCGGGCACCGCTGGCCCCCGCTGGGGCAGGGCTCTGCCCGCGTGCCCGGAGCGCTCGAGCCAAGGGAGCCGGCGTTCCTGCCGGACCCACAGCTGACAGCCCCGGCCTGGACGTGCTGAAGCTCTGGTGTTCTCTATTTCTGAGTGTGTGTGATGCTATGCTGAAGCAATTAGAATTACAACCAAAACAGCTGATGATTGAGAAAGAGGAAAATGGCAATACCCTAAAACATGGCTGTGTGATTTTGCAGCTATGTCACGGAATTCCACCACAATTGTTTAGATTGGCTGAAAGAATAATCCAATAACTTTATGAAAATGAATAAACTGTCCATATTAAAATACAAAAGTACTATCAAGAATCACTTCTGACTTTCAGGATTTAAATTCAGTGCAATTGACAAATGCATTGCTAAACGAAAAATGCAGCTTAAACATACTCAAAACATTTGTGTCTATTCCTGGGAGCACAGTTTAAAATTATTGCACAGAATTTTTTTTTTATTTTTATTTTTTTTTTCATTAAATGACAGAGGTCAGCCACAGTCATGGACCTCCAGCAATAAAAGCAATATTTCAAGTGCCAGACACTCAATATATTAGGTTTCCTACATATTGTAACTCACAGGGTAATTGCTCTAAACATTTGCAATATGTTCCAAAACCCTAAAAATAGCTGGCACAGAACCACCACGGATAACTGTCTTTATGGATATGACTTGGTGTTGGTTTTAAACGCTGTGTGTGATAGCAGTATAATCCTGGGGGGTAGATAAACAATGTATTGTTGACTTGTCTTTACCACTGGCAAATTGCTACCCTACCTTAGCCAAACTCAGACTTGCTTCAAGTCGTGTTTATTTCATGGAAATAGCAGAAATCAATGCCTAATGAACAACGGTTAAAATGTCAAAGCTGCATTATCTCAATTAAATGAATTCATACTTCACTTGGAGGGGGGGAAAAAAAACCCCAAACGAATAAAAAAATAGGTTAGAGACTAACAATCATAAGCCACAAAATTAATTGTGATTGAAATAGTGTTATAAAACCGATAACTTTGCAAAGCTCTGTAATATAAACCATTCCTTAAGTAAAATGTCTGTGACATAAATTTGACAACCTCTCTTTTTATAAATTTACACTCTTGGAATCTTATGCAAGACATGATGCAACCTTTTCGACTACACATACGCATAAACACAACCTCATGCTATCATTTACAAATAAAATCACTATTAGTATACTTTTAATCACATGAGCAGAAAAAGGTTTGCCATATACATCTGTCATTGTAAGAAAAATACTTGATATTGTAAACAGAGTAAAAGACACTATATAGTAGTGATTATTAAAAAAATAGCAGCTTACATCTACCCTATATTTGGAGAAAAATGTAGTCACAAGATACAATAAACTGCAGGACTGGAGCAGCAGGGGAATTAGTGCAAGTATTCATCTTTTAAATAAGCTGAATCACTGCTATTAAAATAAACTTGAAGCAAGTCCTCTGTTTAAGATTTTTTTTTTTTTAAATCTAAGGTAGTAAACATTTTGCCTCTTAATGGCAGTGTTATCAAATATATGCCAAAGATTTTATTTTAATAAAGAAAAATTACATGAAATACTTTTAATACTGGAGTTTGGTTACAATTATACATCTAAGCTCCTACAAATAATGATGGCCAACTCTCAACGAAGCTGTGGCATGAACCCTTGTCCAGAAAGATCTTAACCTCTTAAACAAAATCCCCCAGCTATACTTTGCTCCTTTTCACAATAGTGCACAATTGAACCATATTTTAGCTATGGTCTTAAAGCAACAGAAGATGCGTTTTTTCCTCTTTATTTTTCTCTCTTTTTTTTTTTTTTGCATCCCTGTTTGTTTTAGGGTTTTTTTCCTTTGTTTTTGTGCCCTTCTGTTCTTAAGTTTGGCAGAATTATGTCCCAAATAAGAAATTACTGCATTTCAGCCATGTCACCAAAAAGTCAAACATAGCACAATACCCATTTCCATCCTACTTTGTAGATGAGGATGTGAAATATCACGCTGCAAAGAAGGATTTTTTTTTCTTCTCTCTCCCTAATCCCTTTTCCACCCTCCCTCTGTTCACAAAATTGTGCTCTGGGAGCCACAAAATGTACCAAGTATTATCAGGTTCAAACTACCTCTTCAAAGAATTAATCGAAACATGTTTCAAAGAAACTCTTTTTTTTTTTTTTTTTTCCCAAGGTGAAAAAATATAAACAAGAAACTAAATCACTCCCTTACTTCATGCATCCGTAAATTTAACCAAAACAAAACAGAAAACCCAATGTTTAAAAGCAAAGAAAAAAAACCTACTGCTGCAGATTTCTGTTAAGTCCATTTTCTCTGTACACACAAACTGTTCAACTACTGAGAAGGAAAACAAAAATAATCCACGTGAGAATGGATTGCATGGGGGAAGGGGTAATGAAGGCTGCCATTAGTATCTTCTGATTTTGGTATGTATATGGGTCTGCTCTTGTATATGGTATATTTCTCTCTCTCTCTCTCGTGCTCTTCTGTTTTTCATATCCAAAACCTTTAAATGTTATTTTGGGGCACAGCAGATTCCAGCACTTGGTGAACAGGATTCACAAGCTGTGACAAAACTCTGTCATCCTCTTCAGGGTGTAAATTTTTTTTTTTTTTCTCCTCTTTTTTTTTTTTTTTTTTTTTTTTTTTTTTTCTTTTCTCCTTTTTTTCTTTTTTTTATATACAGTATATGTATATATTTCTTTTACATTTGGCTGTAGTGGACTGGCCATGGTTCGATTGGGACTATAGCAGTACATGGGTCAGGGACAGTCATTTTGGCTATGTACACATTCATAGTCGGTCCATGGCTTCCAACTAAGAGCGCTATTTCCGGAGGTCTAATACACAAACCTGCAAAGAGAGAGACACAGATACAGCAGCTGCACAGCACCAGGGCCTTTACATTCTGTGGGGAGTTTCAGGGCAAAACCTGTGTATAAGCTTAACCTTCTATCTATTAACCATGATTAAATAATATCAAAATGACCAGGTGAGCCCTTAATGAACCCCCAGCCAGCCCCAGTGCTAAGGGCACTGCTGCCTCCAGAATTATTATCAGAACAGCAACATCTTATGTAAGCTGTTTGCTTACATATTTAATACTGTGGGGCTGAGAACTTATTCTAATCTAGTTTGTAAAAAAATAAAATGAAATTAAAGTACATGAACAAGAACTAAATAGATCAGAAAAAACAGTTAACGGTGTACAAATTCTAGTTTTACTCTTCCCAAAATCTCCACCAAGTAGTGCTTCTGGGTCTGTCAGATATAGAAATCTATTAGTAAAATATAACACAGAGTGGAGGAGAAGGGCTTTTGCTAGAGAACAATATAGAACAAATTAAGCCAAACATTTTTTTAAATATCAGAAACTAAATGAAAACAAATCTATTCCAAGTACAATCAGCCTCTTGGGCAAAATTAATTGGAGGACTGGAAAGGTTACACAGTATGTATAAAAAAGGGTCATCTGGGGGAGTGATAATTAATTTCTATTCAGGATATGCCATGAGCTTTTGTCCTTTTATGATACTGCCTATACTTACAACACTAAAATTATATAAAGACGAATCAAAATTAATTCTCTAGCATTTAGGCTTCTTCAAATCTAGAACTTCCTATTTTGTGATTTGAACTCTAACAACTCTAACTCTTACTTACCAGCAAGGAGCATTCAGGAGGGAATGCTTTGGCACCTGTGTTAAGATACCACCTGAGACTGCACTACTGAGCTGCCAGGATTGCTTTTTGCTGACGTTTGTTCAAGGAAGTTACAGCACTTCAAAACACAATTCCCTTATCAGCCTTATGTTAATTTTGCTTTTCCTTAGGCTCTCCTCTGCTTTCTTTGCAAACTATGGAGAGACAGAGGCAAGCAAATGCCCCAGGACTGTGCTCCTTATGATGACTGCACATTCCCATCCCACTGCAGCTCTGCAGGACAGTGTCAGAGCAGCCAGGAGGTGATGCTCCAACACCCTGCAGTGAAATGACAGTGGGAGCATTCATGATTAGTTAAACATGATTTTATTCCCTGCTCTTCCTAAGCAAAGTAAGCAGACTGATATTTATATATAGCTGCTGACATTTTTAGGAACTTTTTAATTACAAGCATTTAGAAATCTGCACTTTGTTTGGCTGTTGAATGCAATGCAAAAGGTATTTCACTCCTGTCATGCATTATAATATCACCTACACTGAGCATTTTCCCTCAAAAAGAGCAGAAAAAGAAAAACAAATTTGTTTCCAAACCAGCCACACTGAACACACTGACACAGCAGGCCCGAGAAGGAACAGAAAATATAAATTGGAGATATCTCCACCTTCTGAGCTTTTTGGACTGGAATAAAAATATTCTCCTTACAATACCACAGCAGCTTCACCACAGTTGAAAACCTAGAGGTGAGCTGGCTGTATTCAACCTTCAGCTAGAGAAGGAAAATTTATCTCCACTGTTGGTTAAAAGATTTCCAGAAAATGTTTATTATTAGAACACCCACCAAGTCAAGCAACACTTACTGAACCATCTGAAGCACTTGCTCCAACTTTGTCTCCTGCTGCATTCCAGCAAACCTCAAAAATCCCTCCTGTTCCCCGATAACTGTGAACTAGGGCACCTGTCTAAAAAAGGGACAAGGCAAGTAATTAATACAACAAAATCAAAGTGAACAAGCACAGTTTGTACATGTAAAACTTCCCCACTGCTTTTAAAAGCTGAAATTCTCAGAGGAAAGTGCTCCAGCAGAGATTGTGGACAGTCTCAGCACCTTGTTAAACAATGTGGCACAACCATTTCACCTTGAGTTCCTGTGCTTGACAGGCAAAGCTGGGATGGTCACAACTACTTCCAATTACTGAAATGAGCCTTTCAGAAATTAATACCCAATGCCCAGAAGCCAGAGACTGCATCATGCCTGACAAGGTCTTTAGAGTTTCAAACATAACAATCTCTTTTATTTTTTGGCAGAAATACAAAACAAGTAATAGTGTCTTTTATGAGAAATTTTCACAGAAATACTTTCTCATAATTATCTTCCCTCACTTTGCATTCTCTTGTTTGTCAGTGAAATTCAATGAAACAGCCAATCAGATTAGTATGTCTAAACCCAGTCATCATTTTTCACAAAAGCCCCTGTTTTAGCAAGAATTTGAAGTTCAGAGTTATCAGAGACTATTTTTGGATGAAATATGTTCTTGGAGGAACTTTGTTCAATTTGGAGTTTTGTCAGTGAGTTTTTGGTTTGTTTGGTTTTTGTCTTTTTGGGTTGTTTTTTTTGATAAGACAATGTAAAGACAAGTATTACTTCACCACAGGCAAGCATTCAAAGTGAGAAATTAAATGTACAACCATTAAAAGAAATAATCTCAGAACAAAGAGAAAACCAGTGTGTTAAGAATGACAAATCTCATTGTGGCTGAAGTATGATGGATAAACAAATGTTGAAAGGATGGAAAAGACCAAAACACAAACTTCTCAACACAGAGAAGAGCAATACCTGTGTATTCCAGATGTGTACACATTTATCAAAGGAGCCACTGGCCAGGTACCTGCCATCAGGACTGAAAGCTACACTGTACACAGGTTCTTGATGTTTTGTCAGAGTATGAATACAAATTCCTCTGTCTACATCCCATAACCTAACAGTAGAATCAAAGGATGCACTGTCAAGAAAAAAGACAGATTAATTACATCTCAATTAAACATACTTTTGTTGCTAATACAAACAGAATATGATAAAGTATCTTAAATGCTTCAAAACATTCTGTGAACTTACATTTATAGAAAGTGAGGTAAAAATAAATGTTTAATTAGCATTTAAAACCAGGATTAGATAGTACCTTGCTAACATAAGATTGGCATTTGGATTATTTGTTCCTGGTCCTGTAGGACTCCATTTGATAGTATAAATTTCTTTGTTGTGTGCTTGTAAATCATGGACACAACTGTCTTGTTTCATACTCCAGATCTATGATAAAAAGAGAGGAAAACACAAATAATTTAGCACATTATTGTACTAAAATACATTTTACATGTTTCTTCTTCATCATTTGCATGCTGACTGTTACACTTTAGGCCACTCAAAATATTTGCTATGATTGCTAGGTTTCTAGAGTAGTTATGCCAAATTTTATTCCAGGACCTTTCATTCTTGGTGTTTTAAGCCCCCAACAAAGTCAATGAGTAATAAAGGTGCTGCCTGTAGAAACAAAACTGCCTGAGGGAACTGCAAACCCCTTGGAAAGTGCAGGGATGAAAGCAGATGCTGAAATGAGAAGAGCAATATGTAAATGTTCATGCCTGAGTTGATAAAATATCACGGTCCTATTTTTAAATTAACTTCTTGCTACACAGACTGAGCAAAATAAAGGGACAGCAGAGAAATTTTCTGTTTTCCTAAAAATCCAGAGACACAAATACCACTATGGCATTTTCCTGACTTATTAGCATTTGCACTGCCAGATTTCAGTGTTCAGTACTTCACAGAGGTCATTAGAGGACTCCAACTCCTCTAAGATCATGCTCAACAAAAAAAACCCAACCCCTTTATTCTATTAAGAGTTTACATTGCTTCTACAGAAGGGATTTGGAAAGGCTTTTATACCTTTTCCTACATGTTAAATTTGATAAGGCAGATAACCACCTGAATGCTATTTTTAATAATATGTGTCTCAGTAATGCTTTTAGTTCACTTTTTCTTTTAGAAAATGCTACCAGGAGCATGTTTAAGCCCAGCTGTATTTAAGATGCAATTGAGGTGCATGTGTAAATAAATGGTGCTTTTCAGAACTGCTGCTTTGCTGAAGAGGAAATTGATTTTCAATGTGCAGACAGAATTGAAATTTTATTTCCACTTTAATTGATGAGATCAAAATCTAACTTCTCTTCCCAAAACTAACATAGATGAAAGAGTCCCTATCAGCTGCCCTAGAGAATATTAAGTTGTAGATAGAAACTAACCAAGTAAATAAATCACTAGGCACCTTCCACGTGCTTCCAAACCTGGTATTTATTCCCTCTGCCATTGAGAAGTAAGTGATCCACAAGTGATTAGTGATGTGTAGACTTATCCTCCAGCACTTGACATTTGAGCTAATATTGAACAAAACAATAACATTCTTTGCAGCCTGGGCTCCATTCGAAACAGCCACCAAGAAGTTAATTGCTGGAATCCCACAAATGCTGACACATTCCCAGCTGTCACCTCTACTCACAGAGAGGCAGCAGCAACAGCTCCAGCTCTAGCCTGGAATTCATCACCCTGGAGCTGTTTAAGTATTAAATACCTGGCTTAAGCTGGCTATTTTGACTCCGTCCACTGCCAGTGGAGAACAACTGATGCTCTCAGGGGTTTCCTGAGATCCTGAGAGGGATTCCTTTTTGATGACACTTGACTTAAGACATTTAACTTAGGAAAGGATAACTTGCTCTTCAGCAGTGCTAGACAGTGCTGGCTGGAGATGTCTAGACATCCAGCTTTAGACTGAAGGCTTAATGCTTAAGTGTTGGTATTTAGATAAGGTGATTTCCCCTGCCAGAGCCTGACTGTGTGCCAACAGGAGAGATATGTGGCTACTCACTCATTCAACCATTCCCTGATTAAACAACAGTGAGCTGGATGGAATTAACTGTCCCAAGGGTTACTAGCAGGACAGTGCTGTCTATGTAAAAAATGTATCCTGAAACTCTACCAAGCACAGTGCTGAAGGTCCCAGTGAATGTAAAGCAGTACAGGAGTAATGGAAAGCATCTGTACCATGGAAGCAGCACAGGCCTGCCAGGCATGAACAGCCTCATTTCTGCTGGTTTGTAAGGATCTCTAGAGCGCCCTGAGGTCATGTGTGTAAGTTGCAGTGTCCTCTGCACTCACAAGTTTGATCCTGTTCTACAAGAAAACAAGTAGCTGTGAGTGATTTGGAGGACAAGTGTAGGTGTGATTGAAAACTGAAAAATGACTCCTGATGAACTGGAAAAATCCAGGAGCGCACAGGAAGAAACAACATGCCAAAGATTTTAACTAGAAAGAAGGGGAAAGCAGAAGAAAACCAGGAAAGGAGCAAGTTACCCATTCTTGTATGTGCTACTCGACATGCATTCCAACTTTTTCTTTTGAACAAAAGCAACCATCAAGCATGACAGCTTAACGATTAATGACCTGATTCTGTAAACAGCTAAAAGCACCTAATAAATCATGCTCCCAGTCTCAGGCTGGCAGCCTGTAACAAGTTCTCTGGACCAAAGCTTGGACCTGATTAACAAGGATTTCTAGGATTGCCTAACCCTTTTATATTAAAAAAAGAACAAATATTGGTCAACACAGCAAGCACAGTGATACTGCTGGAATATCCAGGCTAATGGAGTGCATTCCAGAGTCCTACAAAGTCAAGGGCCAGCCCCAGAGCTCCCATTACCTTTAGAGTCATGTCATCAGAGCAGGATGCCAGCAGATTACCAGTTGGATCCCATTTGATTGCATTTACTTCATTCTAAAAGTTAACAGTGAGAATAAGTTGGAGTCTTTCCTTCCATCATAAATGACAACTTACAAAAGATAAAGCTGGACAGCAGTTATGAGCATTTGCATAGCTGTCAGGCTTTTAACACTTAATTTTTGTTCATAGCTTTGCCTTCAATAACAACAGCTTTTTGCTATCCATTTATCACACTTCCCATGCATTCTTGTACACCATGTGGTAAAATCTTGAAGTTATCATGCTGCTGCTTCTTCTATAGCTCACTCTTGCATCCTGGCACTGGTAAAACAGGCTGCACACGGGGGTGAGAATTGTTCTGATAATCATAGGGATTGTGATTACCATAAGACCTTAACCACAACTACCTTTGTGTGCATCTACTGCCTGTAGCCAATGCCCATTACACAGCTGCTGGGTACTGGTTAAGTTTATTGGGCCCCCAATCTCTCACTAATAAAAATATCACAGAGCAACCCCCTTTTTTGAAGTACTTACTGTGTGACCCTGGAAGGTTTTGATGGGCCTATCTTGTCCTAGTTTACAAACGTGAATACACATGTCTGTACTGCAAGAGGCAAATGTGTTGTTACTCTGCCAATCAACATCTAATGCTGGTGCTAAAAGGAAAAGAAAGATATTTAAAGCTACAGTACGCACTCTGCAGGAATTTGATGTGCAAATTTAGCATGCACCACCTTGGAACAAAAGCCAACAAAGAGCAATCAATTTTAGAGCAGTTCTGAAGATAAACACTATGAACAGTAAGAAACACAGCTACAACAAGTCTTACACAAAGTGGAACAAATTTAATATAAGACATCATAATATTTGTAATCAAAGTTATAGAGAAGACAGTGCAGCAGGACATCAAGTTGTAGTTAGGGCAACTATAAACAAATCTCAAGAGGCAGCACAAGGAACGGGTTCCCACAACTTCACACATCATTGTGCATCAGCTCATCTCCACCAACATCTCCTGCTCGTGCTCAGGGATGGCAGCCAGGGAAGGGTAAGGATTTATTTCCTTTCTCAATTCCAGCATTGTAAGGTGTGGTAACTTGAAGCTTAATCATGGGCAACATGTTCCATTTGCTCAAGCCAGCTATTTATGGCAGATGGCACAGAATGAACTGCTGCAGTAAGTGCTGAGCTGATGTTTTTGACTACTGTCATGCCACTGGAAATGTGGCACAAGCTGAATAAAGAATGGACCAGGACACGTTTCTTAAAAGCCCTTCAATGACATGTCTGTCATCCTCTCCATTCTGTTTTCCAGCTGATTCTGACAGGATTGCTCAGCAGGCAGCCCACAAAGCAATTTGTCTGACCTCCTGCACTCCCACCCCAGCTGGCCAGTGATTGTTTGTGGCCAAACAATCTGGGGACAATGGAACAATGCGATATGGGGTGGGATCACTGCAGCAGGAGGATGACAAATGCAGTCCTTAGGTGATAACCACTAATCCCTTGTGGCCCACTCACATGATTTGTCTGCCACCATACTACAGAAAGTCAGGAATACTTGGATTATTTATCTCTTGTGACTTTTGTGGAACTGCAATAAAACTGTGAGTTATAAAATCAGAACAAATCCATCTTTGTTGACATTCCCAAAATTCCAGTATGGAACTCAGTAACCAAAGTCTACCTGATTTAAGATTTTAAAATTATGCAAATAAGCACCATAAACATCAGACTTTTAAATTTATTTTAAAAAATAACAGCTTTTTGTCTTTTCAGATGACAAATCTGAATGGTGAAATCAAGACTTACCAGAATGAAATGGAAACTGCTGCTTGGCTTCGCCAGTGTGGGCATCCCAAATAATTGTGGTCTGTGTTAAACAGATAAATAAACAATAAACAAACTTGTACAAATTGCTAATTTCCCCACAATTACCATCACACCCAAGTACAAGAATACCTACCCTGCTCACCATCACCCAAACCTGCTCTTGATTATACATTTCTAGAGTTTGATCCAGTACTAAAAGAAATAGTAGCAGATGTACAGAAAACAGTAGATAATTTAAGACTGCATTAGAAAGGTGTTCAGCCACAACATTTTGGGGTCTAGAGGGAAGATGGAATTTGTGGGCTTTTAAACAGTTTTATCCCCTTAGTCCTATTTATATTCTTGTAATCCATTCCACACACCTACTTTAATTTCAAATACTTGTATATTCAAATTGTAGTATCAGCTACTCACTTGTTCCTAAGGAGATGTTATTAGCAATTAGTCACATGCTGAAAAATTTAAGGGTGTAATTTTATTCTATGTTGTTCTCTGCCAATACTTTCATAACCTTCTGAAAGGTTAAAGAAATCTTATGTGACAGAATTAGTATCATATCATCAGTGTATTATATGCCAACATCCCTGCCCTACCTCAATGATCAGTGAAAATTTTGACACCGAATTCCATGGAAGCATGAACTGATCACACAAAATAATTATGGAAAAGGGACCTAAGGTTGGGTCATTCGCTCTGCTAAAGCAGAATATTTTCCAAAGCATAATCTCAGTTTGTTTAAGAAGTTTTATTGACTGAAATGAGGTTTCTATTTCTTCCTTCATTATTTTCCTGCAAACGAAAGCTGTACCTCCACAAATATTTAAAAAATGGCATAACCATCACAGATGCCAAAAGAGTAAACACATCCTTTCCATGCTTTGAGAGATTAAATTTTCCTTCCTTTGTGCCAGCACAAGCATTTATAAAGCTGGCTAATAAAGCATACCAAGTAAATGCATGCAGGGAAAAAAAAAAATAAAAAAAAACAAAGGAGAAAATTTACTACTTTACAGTGACACTGCCAGTTTTAAGTGGTTGTACTGAGGTCGCAGTTTGCCACTCTCACTAGGAGAAAACCTGTGCTGACTTCTGCACCTTGAATCAGTTACAGAGGAAAAAATCAACTCTCCTTACTCTTGCAATAGTCTATTTGATTCTCTGAATTCACTTTAAGTACATTTCCCATCAGTCTGTGCCCTTCCTATCATTCATAAATAAAACCTCTCACACTAACAGCAGCTCTGAACTGAAAGACCTTGTAAACCTGAATTTGTTTAGAGATGTGAAATAAAACACAGTCAAACAATGAGCTCCATGGCATTACACAACTGGCACCTCCCCAGTCACATATATCAACTTTCCTTATGTTCCAGCTTTAATCTTTATAATCATTCTTAGGTTTGACTGATATCCAACTCAGCCTGAATCTATCCCTTTAGTACACTTCTTTTTTTCCTGAGGCTTTGCATGTAGTGGTTTACTGAATTAGGATTAGGTTTTACAAAGGTTTCATGTTTCTGGTTTCAATACACTTATTTTCCAACTCAGACTAACCTAAATGGGAAGAAATCCACAGACATTGAAATCTAGGAAATTAAAATATCTCAATAAACTACTATAAAACCCAAGGAAACATAACTAAGCATAACAAGATCTTTGTAAGCACATATTTACATCCCATGCCTTTGGTTTCATTTACTTACTTTGCATAGTTTTTCTATTTTGCTTACAGTTAGATTATAACGGTGAAGGAAAGAATTTTAATTTTACCAAAGATTATCTCACCTTGTCCACTCCTGCACTTAAAATGAAGTTTCCTTTCTTGTTCCATTTTAACGCAAATATAGGACCTTTATGTTGCCCTAAGGTGCTGGCAAGATTACCTGAAAATTTATATTGATATGAATACATTAAAAAATAAAAAACTATGCCGTGAGCCACAATATAGGAAAATATATCGTAAATTAAGAAGTATTTTGCTTACCATCTTTAGTCCATATCCTTGCAAAGCCATCATAAGACCCAGTTGCTAGAAGTGTACCTTCACTCTGCCAGCAAAGAGGTTATTTATTTATTCATTTTTACTGCTTAACTCAAAGCTAAAGAGCACAAAACAAATTTGAGGTAGAATTGATCGGCATAGGATTTACGACATTCAGTTTCACTGATGGCAGCTCGTTAGAAAGAAGTTCCAAAAGTACAACAGAAGTTACAACACCGCTCAAAACGGAAATATTGAGCTCTGACAGCACGAGGTGAGCAGGGTTTTCCTGGGAGCATCTGGAGCACTTACGTTCCAATCCAGCGATGTCACGTCCTTGTTGCTGGGCACGTCCTGCCCCCCTTCCCGGATGCAGTGCCGGAGCACCAGCTGCGTGGAGCCGCTCGTGCTGTTCTCGCTGAGGTTCCATATCCGCGCCGTCGAATCGCCAGAGCTGCAAAACACCCCGTGGGGATGGAAATGCTGCTGTTTACACATGGGCAACTCCATTTATTTCATCTATATATTAACATACATCCTTAGAATGGCGCTCTGCAGGAGTATATAATGTGCAATGCACCATATACTGATAATATACAATATATTAATAACAGGTGCTATTATAATATATGGTATGCAAAGTAATAGATAATATATATTATACTTATATATAGTTATGTAAAACATATAGTTTTTATATATATTACATACATAGCATGTAATATAGAATATATACTATATAATGTAGCAATGTATATGCACTATACAATATATATGTGATCTAACATATATTGATTCTGTATCATAATTATACATAATTTATACTTATATACTGTAATTACATGTTTATTATAATAGATTAATCATATATCTAATAATTATGTAATAATTATACATAATTTGTCTGTTTAGTATTATTTTATTAATATTAATTTTATTTAAATATTAAATTATATTAATTTAAGAATAGTATAATAGGAGTATAATAAGATAGATGGTAATAATGATAAAAATATTGATAAAAATAATGTTAATAATAATATTTATAATGATAATATTTATAATAATGTTAATAATATTGTTAATAATAATAAAGTTAATAATAATGTTAATAATTTTAATAATGTTAATGATGATGACGATAATAAATAATAATAATAAATAATAGATTAATAATAATAAAACTAAAAATAATGATAATAATGATAATAATGATAATAATGATAATGATAATGATAATGATAATAATAATAATAATAATAATATTAGTAACACACACGTGGGTACTGCACGTACCCTGAGGCCAAAAGGTCACTAACGGGATTCCAGGCACAGATGAACACTTCGGATTCGTGGCCACGCAGCACCACTGCCTTGTTGGGAGGGATTTCCACATCTCCATCTACTTCCATCATATCCGTGTGATTATCTGTATTATGGGAAACAACAGTACAGAGAGGTGGATTTTAGTATTTTGGGATATTGTGACTCCTGTATGGTTCAGATTCTTCTGTGATGAGTGCAAGAATTCACAATTTATGCGATTCAAAAATTTGATAGAGCTGTCACACTCTTATTTTTTCAGTTCCAATTAATGAAGCTATAAACAGATGGGGAGTTTCGAAAATGTGAGAAAGCTCTTCGCCCCTGTAAACCTTCATATCCAAATGGATTTAATTTAGGAGCTTCAGAAATAGGGCCAAAAGTTAATTTTTTGCTATGCTAAAAAATAAATGCTGTTACAAGTACTCTGTTTTTCAGGCCCAACACTGCATAGCACAATATGTTACTAGTCTAGCTTGTGCTGTAAGAATGCATTTATAACACATTCATTTTCAAAAATCCCTCTTTTCACCAACTGCAGTCAAGCAGGTTTTAAACCTACATCTCCAACACTCCATATACAAAATGACTTTAATAAATATAATCACATTTGGTGACAGAGCAAACATAACCAAGCTTCTCAAACTTCATCAGCAATTACCATGGAATTATGGCAGTGTAACTTTCTGCGTGGAAATGAGGTTGAAACCATATTGTTCTGTAGAACAGTCTGGGGGTAATTCAAGTGACAAAACAGTTTTCTTGGCATCTACCATCAACCATTTTCTATTATTAAAAATAAATTCACAATGACTGCAAATGCAGGATGTAAGAAGTGCTGCACAGTTCACCTGTTCCATATTTATTCACTGCGGTTAAAGAAATAATTTCACAGCTATTGCTTAATTTAGCATCAAGGGTTTCTGCCACTGTTTGTGAGAAAATAGGAAAGACTATTAAAATGTGAGTATTTTTTCAGAAGGAGCACCATATAAAGCATTGCTTCAGAGGATCGATGCCAGTCTGAAGCACTGTACAGCCAGCAGGGGTTGCTGGTAGATCACATTTAACAGGGCTGAGATCCGAGCTCTACCCTCCCTCTATCCAGTTCACAGTTATCAAGTAAATACCCCTTTGAGATTTTCAAATGAAAGCATCAAAGTAGAGATCATTTCTTTCAGCCAAAGAATTTATTTCTAGCTTTTTATCACATATACTAATCAAAAAACCTAGTGAAATCAGGCTGTAAAACTTGTACATGGCTCAATATTCTCTTAAAAATGTCATTTCTTACAGGAAGAACTGTAAGTCCCACACTTAAACATGCAATTCAGACTTTCAGAAGAGTATTTTCAGAATCACAGTTTAATGCCTGACCCAAACTCTTCCATACTAAGCCTCATTGTACAGCATGTTTCTTTGACCAGTGATGATAAACAAAACTCATTTATTTCACCAATCACAACTAAAATGGAATTCATGAATAAAGGAAACCTGAGAGCAGTTGCATTGAGCAAATTTGAATAGCAAATAGTGAAAACTGATACTGGTAAAAGAGACAAGAGACACAGAGCTTGTCCCAGTAACCCTGACCTCAACATCACTAGAAAAGCCAGGCACAGCTCTTGGATCTGTGGGATTTACAGAACCTCTTGGAAGGAGTTTGCAGAGCTTCACAAGCAGCAATCAGTTTTAACCAGCCACGGACTGGCACACAGACTCCTCTCCTCATTCCTTGTACAGGAATGTGTCAATTGCTTTTTCCTTTTTATGCAAGGGCCCTGTGAAAAACCTTCAGGTGGTGGAAAAGAAGCAGTAATGGAAGTGAGACCACTCAAGAGAATACTGTGAATTAATGAATTCACAACTTTGACTTCTGCAACCCCAGATATGAAAACTGGGGACAGCCAAAGGTGAGACACGATCTGTTCAAGTATCAACCATGATGAAGGAATTCTCTGCAAGCTGAAGGGTCACTCCAAACTCTACATTTTTACCTCATTGTCTACAAGCTCATCCTATGTTAAACAACTAGAAACTGCTAACCCAGCTTAAAGCCATTTATATCTCGACTTACTTGCTATAGTGTGTGCTCCGTTCTCCTCTCCATTTGCAGTATTTTCTCCATTTTTTGCTGATCCCTGTTGGTTGGTGGCGGCTGCAGCTGCAGCAGCTGCTGCCTGCTGTTGTGCAAGTTTGTCTCTGTAGGCCTGTTGTCTTGTCTGTACCACATCAGGCATCACTGCATCTATCAGTGAGAGAGACTCTATCGGCCTACCATCAAACAAGGTACCATCCTAAATTACAGCACAGGGAGAAAAGGGAAAAAAAGAAAAAAAAAAAAAAAAAAAAAAAGATAACACCAAGTACAAATTAACATTATGGGCAAAGATTCCAAGCAAAACTAAAGAAAATGTTTTCATTTAATATAATAAAGCAGTTTACATATGGTGCTGGAAGTGATATCTCTCATCATTGTTGTGGTTAGGAATTTTAGTGGTTAGAATTTTAGTCTAAAGTTAAGTGGCCACCATAAATACGCAAAAAAAAGCCACTGCAGGCCTCTGGGAGAGCCTGTGGAATCAAAAGCAACTTGTTTTGAGTTTGCTGAATTGTCTGCTAAAGCAAAAAATTCTGTAAGCTATCTATGAATATGATTTCAAACATGAGTGGCTGCAGCAAAATCTAATGGTTTGTTTGAAGAGAGAGCTGCAAACATTGCAACTCGGGTCACTGACTTGTGAAGTTATAGTCTTATTAGACTAATACTTTCCATAAACATATTATCTGGGGAGTTGACTAGTTTTCTTCCTTTTTTCAAACAGTGCTGGCATGCTTTCAAACAAGAAGGAAGAATTTTATCCTGAAATGGACAAGACCCAGTTAAAAATACCCTTATACATATGCTAGGGCTTTGTAAGGATCTATTTTTAGGGACTAGAAGGATTCCTTGCAGTAAATATAGGGTCTTCTATTCCTATCATTTGCTTTATTTTTCTGAGGCTTCCTAAGGGAAAGGATTTGCTTCACTAGGACTGTGAAAACCACACAAACAGCAGACATACGGGAGACTGGGAAGTGAGCAGAATTAATGGAAAAAAAAGTTTCCTTCTGTAATCTAACTGACACACAGAACGGCTTCTCACCTTCCAGGCACAAATGAGAATGGAAATTGAGGGAGAGTGTCTGCACCATCAGGGAGGAAGATACATAGCTTTCTGTACTGCTGGAATAACCATTTAAACATCAAATTTAACAGATCTTGCTCAAGATGAATTAGCCAGCAGAGGCAAAAGGCAAACTGGCATATACCTTCAGCCTTCCTGCCACAAATTCAAACCCTCTCTCTCCTTGGAAACCTTGCCTTTGGGCTGACATCATTTCACTGTCATGACACCAGAGCCCAAACAAGAGCTGCACAGTGCTCTCCCATCTCCCTAGTCCCAGTCTACAAAAACAAAAAATGAAGAGATTACTGGTCTCAATTATTATCCTATCACACTTGTCTGGATGCACTACAACATTAGAGTAGGGTAAAAACTCTACAGATAACGGACCTTGAAGCAATGAGCCAGAACACCATGCCTGGTGTTGTGTGGCTGCACTGGGCAGAACCCCCACCCAGTTATGTCACTCCACTCTGGTTCCACCACTGGAGTCATGGTGAACACCAGCAGTAAGGAATCTGAAGTAAAAGTAAATAAATAGGATACAAGAAAGTTAAGGAAAAATACTAACATTCAAACTTACTGCAAGCAAGGACACAATGCTCCTGCAGGCAAAGCCTCCTTACCTCATTAATACTGACTTCTGCCTCTACATACTGCAGACCTTTCTGGATGATGGAAATCAAAGCAGCTGGTGGCACCAGAGCACCATTTATATTAGACTGGCTGATATGGCTCTCTATACCAAAGGTAAATGCTGAATGGGAAAACCCTAAAGACAAGGCAAAGACATCAGAATTGATTTACAGATAGACAACGCTACTTGCTGTACCACGGTAGGACCTTCTGTTTAAAACCTGAGCAAATTATACAAAGTGTAATGCTACAGCATGCTTCTGAGCTACTAAAAACTTGTCAAAACAACTCAATTCCCTCATAGTCTAAGTGTACAAAAAGAGAAAAGCTAAATTCATATATAAACACGGCAATTATTACAGCATCAATGGCAAAACATTTGTGCACAAGTCAATATAAAATAAATAATTCACCACAGCATTTAAATGTGTTTATATTTTCACAAACTACATGTAAGTATTGTACCTTATGAAGCTTTTAATTAAAAAATATATATCCAAGACATAAGACTGCTATTTTCACTCCCTGATTTGATACCCATGAAAGTGAAATGGATCTGTATGTGAACAGAACTCAGCTCATGGAACAGTGCTGCCATAATTTTGTATGCTCTGGCATTTAAAACTACATCAGCACTGTGCACTGATTAAGAAGTGGCAAACATGTTATGGTGCAGCAACGGCAGCTGCTTGCTATTTATTTGATCACCCTGAAAAATTGAATTTAAGCTAGAGAAAAATAGTTGTTTCAGGAAATTAACTTTATTGTCGTAGCATTTTTTCTTAAACCACTATTTTTTTATTTTTTTTCTTTTCCCCTGTCAGGTAAGCAAGAAGCTGCCTGCAAACTTTAAAATGAAGATGAAGCAATTTTTAAAGTTTGGCTTCTATGACAAAAGCAATCTGCAACTGGAATAAGAACGTGTAGGTGTTTTCAGTAAATTCAGGCAGAAAAATGAGGTTTTGCTTTTTTTTGACAAGCAGAAACTGTGACAGTCTGCCATCCACCATTGCCTATGGTTCTTCAATTTGGGAAGTCCATGAGCAGTGGACATGTGTTGCACCACTCAAATGCATTTTCAGTAAGCCTGAAGCTGCCCATCAGCAATCGCTAAACAAAAACTACGAATCAATAAACATTCAAACAGCAAGGTAAAATATGAAATATATGTGTATATTTTCTTATATATCTACACATATATATATTAAAGCTGATCTCTTACACTGTTGTCTTAAGACTGAAGTTTATTTTTGCTTTAATATGCAGACTTCTTTTATGTATTGCTGAGATCATATCCCCTCCTGCCAGCTGACAATCATCACTTGTTCATTTACTGGGGCATGGCCTGACTTCCAGTCAAGTCTTCCCATTCTAAATGTAGGCTGTGTTAAGCAATCAATATCACAGTTGTGAGTAAAAGATGATGTTGTCTCTTAGAGAGCTTCACGAATAACCACCACCACAAAACTCCCTGCAGCCATATGGCTGCATCTAGAAACCCAAACATGCAACACAAACTGCTGATCCGACTGGGGTGGGGAAGCTTTAGAAATAAGGAAGCACTGCTGCATTCTTATGCTGTGCAGACACAGTCAGTGTGGAGGGATATGACAGGAAAAAGGTTTCTTTTCAAGTCTGGCAATATTCAAGTGTCTTTTGCTCTTTGTCCTAAGAAGCAGGAAATTCTGGCTATGCAGAAGGACAAGATCCTCCAAAAAAAGGTCCTGCAGGGACGGAGGCTTTTGAGAACCCAAAGAGTTATTCCTGTAAAAAATCTGTTCATCTCTATTTAGAATCAAGTGATACAAGTCATAGTCACAGTTGTCACATCTTCCTTTGAAACACAGCCACATCTGCCCTCCCACAGTCACGCTCAGGCAAGGAATTCGGCTGCACAAGACCGGCTGGCAGGAGCACCATCACTCCAAGACAACAGAAGAAAACAGCATTTTGCTGATCATTCTATTTTCTTCTTCAAGCAGCCCTGAAGAAAATGGTGCAAAGTGCCATCATCACCCTGCAGAGAAGTGATCTCCAGGAAAATGCATTTTAGCAATCGAGTGAGTCCTTGGCTGGTTGACTGCCATCTGAAGACTCCAAATGACTAAATCTGATTAAGTTACAGAAGGTAACTTGGCAGGAATTCATTCTCTTGTTGAGAAGAAACACCAAGAAACAGTTCAGACAGAAGCACATGCCTACTGGCAAAATAATTAAATGAGCCTGTGTTTGCTAAAGCCAGTTGCAGATGAAGATCAAATAAATTATGCATTGTTTAATAACCAGAATTGTAAAAACTCACCTGACTCTTGCAAGTATCTATATACCAGGAAGTTAACCTCATCACTGCTTATACTCATCTTTATTCCCAGTTAAACCATGAGGTCACAACAAAGGACACAACCCTGCAAATAAAAGAAAAAAGTAGGTCAATTAAATATTTTTAATAGCCAATAGGTATTTCCCAACAAATGTTATATTTAAAAGTAAGTAGTTCCCTGGCAGCATAGACAATAGCTTTATTTTATAATGCAAATAAGTCTACTGGAATCATTAAAAAGTCATTTGTCTCACCACAAAATAAAGATCAGTAAATTAAATATTAAAGGGCTGGATTCTCATATGAGGCAAGTTGGTATGGACTGGGAAACTCTGCTGCTTAATACCAGTATTAAAGAAGGCCTTATTTCACAGGTTTTAAAAAATAATCAAGTGAGTTTCTAATCTACATTACTGCTATGGAACACTTTTTTATAACATAGGTTTCTTTCTGCCTGGTTAACAAAGACCAAAAACTTGGTTTCACATTGGCATCCAGGCAGGTTCTCACTTTTACATTCTAATCTACTGCAATTTTCAGGTACTCCTGCCCTAGTGAAAAGGTACAGAACAGTATGAGATACAGAACATAGTGTCTGTTCAATGCAAGCCCAGCTAATCCCACTAAAGACCAGAAAACATCTCAGCCATATCTTTTGGCTTTTCAAAAGGAATTCTTGACATTAGAAACAAACTTTATACAGCCCATTTTTCATAACATTTCTATAGGCTTTCAGTCAGTGCTTTGAAAATGTTGATGAGAGATATATATGTATTTATACATGTACAATTTTTCCTTCATTTTAATAATAGCAAATATTTAGCAAGAAAAATAATGTATCAGACTGTATATGCTTTTGATTATAAACTTGGAAAATAAGAGGCAACAACAGCCTTTAAAACATGAAGAGACAGAATACAGTGCTTTTTCTAAGTCTCATTTTTGAGAACATCCTCATGCTGTCTGAATGTTTGAAAACCTTGACCTTTCCAAGTAAACAAGTGAAAACATCAGCTTCAAGAACATGTTATGAGATAATGTACACCTTCTGTTCCTATTATCTGTCCAGCACTTTTCATCAGCAAACCTTCCCAGGTTTTTACCCAGCTGACCACCACCATTGTTTCTCCTATGGAACTGGAGTCTGAGAAAGCAAGTGACTTTCCTATTGGTATTTGACAAAGATCGACTTGGGTTCTCATGTAAAAAGGTACTGGAAAATGGGTTTTCCTACACTATTCAAAATAAAAACTTCTTGCTGTGTGGCTGCATGGGGAGGCCACTTGCCACTGCTGCTCCAAGTGGGAAAGTGGTGAACACAATCAAAAGTAACAACTACGAAGTCATGATTGGCATTATAAGGCTGCCATGTGTATTCTCCCTGGGCATCTTTTCCTAGCAAGAACTCCCAAGGTAACAGGAGAAAATGACCACACTGTTTTTCTGATAACCTAACTTTGAGTTTTACCATTCAACTGCAGCTAAATTGGACAGTGGGAAAAGCCCTCCAGGATGTGACTTTCCCACAAGTCCCATCATGCTGTACAAACATGATCCAATTAAATCCCTCAAGAACAGAGGCTAAAGGATGAACTTGGGTATGAAGAGTTTATTTACCTGAAACCACATCTGGACACCCCTAATCCTGCCCCAGGTATGTGGTCACCCAACTCACAGCCATAATGTTGGGGAGGTGGCTTTAGTTTCTTAAGGAAAAAAATAAAATTGCAGTTCTACTTAAACCCTTCTCATTTCTAAAGGAAAAAGCTGCCCCAAGACAATGACTTCCAGTAAGTGCAACAGGGCTGGGAAAGGAAGGCACATTGATACCAACCCTATCCCCACCCCTCCACAGCCCCAGCCACACCTGGGGTACAAGACATCCCTGCCAAACTCCAACACATACTTTGAGGACTTGTTTACTGAACAGAATATAAAATGAATGGCATTTTTAGGCATTTCATGCATAAGCAACCAATTCCACCATGTGCAGGACCAAACATTAATTTTATTCAGCTATGTTTTGTTGCCATACGTGGAGCAAATTATCTTTCTTTAAGACTGTTTTTTACAGAAAAATGCTGTAGGAAGAGGAACAATATTTTCCTTCAGAGGAGAAGGTAATTAAGTTTAAAGAGACTCATAAAGAAGGTTTTTTTTTTAACATTATGTACATACACACACAAATGGCAGTATTTGTTTCATGGGTATGTCACAGATTTTTCAAATCTTGCTGCATCACCAAAAACGATAGCTCAAACCACAGAAATCTGATGAAAGTGCTGTTTGTCACACAGAGAGGTGCTGAATTATTTATATAGAGAGGGTTCCCCCCTCAAAGCAGAACCATGGAGATGCCACATCAATTCACCTGTTATGTAGCCGGGTAGCTGAAGGAAATTTAAAAAAAACTAATGTTTTGCTTGTCTGTCAAAAGTGTTCTTCACCCTGGCCCAATCAAAGGAGCCTCATTTCTTCCAGGCTGGTTTGAGTGTTTTGCACAAAAGCTTTGGTCCTGCCCGGCTATCAGGAGGTGGCACTGCAGCACTGGCTGTGGCACCCTGGCCACCAGGAAAACACAAACAGCTCCAGAAACACACGGTTTGCCTGATGAAGGGCTTGGAGCTGGAAAAGGTGCAAAAGATTCCTGCATTTTACCAAAATACTGCTTTCTGCATGTTTTCAGTGCTCATTTACGTTTTCTGGAAGGTGTTTTCTGTGTTTCCCCCATCCCAGGCCCTGTGGCTCGGGCAGAGCCTGGGGACAAGTGGCCCACAGCCAAGTGACACAAAAAATATGAGAATAACAAGCAACACCAAATCACCTTCCTTCCAACCCAAAGCAAAATGTCACGTTAAAGAGAAAAGACAGTAGAAGAGGATACAATAATTATTTCCCTTTGACACACTCTGAATTAACACCAGGCTTACGCTGCCAACCCTCAAAGTGTTTGTGACAACAAACCCATGCATGTACACATGTACCCCACATCCTAAAAAAATTACTTCATCAAGGCTGGCTAATTCCCCCCAAATTCACTGTTCCCACAAGCAATCAACTACTTATTTTGGGCACCTTAATAGATATTAGTATTGCTCTTCATTTTATATGCAGAAATTAAATCACCAAAAAGACACATAAAAATGAGACAAAGACAAGTAGAAGTTAACATGCAATTCCTAGCAGAATTAGGCATAGATATGTAGACTAATTTACATAGGGACCATTAAAAATATCTTGAAATATTTGCAGCTTTATGTCCCAAACCCATTCTAAAAATGTGATGAGATTCTCAGAGCCCTTTTTTTTCCTTGCCCTTAGAAACATTCAAAGGTCTTCTTCAAAACATTCTGTGGAATTACTTGGCAAAGTATGAAGCATCCACATTGCTGTTTTAGATCCAATTATGCTTTTAAAGGAAATCTCTCCCATTTGCCTCTGCTTTTGTTTTGCGCCCTGGAGCAGGTATAGTGCATGTGAAGGGAATTCCTCATTGGTAAAATGAGGATTAAATGAATAAAATACCCCATGACAGGTAAAAAAAGGATGGGCATGAGAGCTTATGAACGATGCCCAAATTGCTCATGGGACCACACCAGGATCAATATTCCCTGCTCAAAAGAAAGTCCATTTCAGCAGGCCTCTTCCCAGGTTTTATTTCCCTTCCCAGAGGATGGGCCTGTGATTTGTAACACCACTGCTCAGTTACAATCAGCACAACAGCCAGGTAATCCCAGGTAATTTTTAATGCTGCTACAGAAAGTCCCTAATGTCCCAAAATTTATCAGGCATAACACACATCAGCCATAAAAGTCAACTATCCATAGAGATGCTGGCCTCGAGATTTAGTCACTAACAGGTCAGGAGCAGAGAAGACACACGCCTGTGCTTTAGACAGACTGACCCACTCATTCCATGCCAGGAATCACACAAAGATTCATTTGGAAGCCACCTTTTTCAAGGGAAACCTGGTTTCTTACCTCAGAGACAGCACCAGCTGTGGCTTTGCTTCCAGCCTGGCAGAAGTGTGTGTTTCTGTGCCTGCCCCAAGGCACACAGGCCAGGTCGCACCCCAGCACCTCTGTCCCTTGAGGACCAGTCACACACCACACCTGGGGTAAAATTTACAACTAAAATCCATTAAGAAGGAGATCGAATTCCACTCTCACCAACACCAGATCTGCAGGCTAATCAGTGCCCAACAGTGCAAACCCAACTGTGCTTCTGACAAATCATTATTCCACTCCACATGTTTGTGCTAGCTTTGTACTCCTTGTCCAGGTTCATGCCAAATGCTGGAGAAGAGATGCCACCCGATATGGCTCCTGGCCTAATAGGTTTTTTGGGTATTTAGGGGTTTTTTTTAGACAAACCTGAACTGGCAGAGAAAGTTTATAGATCAGATTATTACTGCGTATCTCTCAATCACCATTTGATAATGTATACTGGAGTTACACTACAATTAGAGTTATTGTATCATCAAATAACAGCCTAAGAAAGTGATATTTCTGCAGTTGTAGGCGGGCTCTAACACATTCCCAATAGGTAGGATAACAGGAAAACCTGACAGGCTGCAGTGAATAATAATTCCCCAAAAACATACCAATCATTAGTGTGATACCAAATACGACATGTTAAAAGGAGCAGCTAACGCTCTGGGTAGCTCTGAAGAATGCTTAATGCTCAGACATAAACAGCCTGCTACATTTATCCATGGAAAACAGAAGTCTGGCTACAGAAACAATAAATCCCCTACAACAAAAATATTGCCATTAGAGCTTGTATTTTTTCCTCTTTTGCAAGAAATCCAGACAAATATTTTGCTAGCATATGTGCACATAGACATTTTATCAATTGTTGCTTAAGAGTCTTTCTCTTAAGGCCACAATAATTAAAAGAGCAAAGGGCGCTGTTTCAATCCAGCCACTTGGACCTGGCAAACTCCTGGATGCGTGAGGTTTCAGCAGGATTTCATTCAGATACCAAAGCTACCATAGGTTACAGAACTGGAGATTTAACCACAAAACATCATTCCTTGTGGCTGCTGTTCTACTGAAGCTTTCTCCAAATGCTCTTCTCCAAGAC